TATGTTATTTCTCTCATGACTGCAAATTTGGTGGGTTTTGCTCAGTTTTATTTGTTTTTTTTTAAGATTCCATAATTTTATATGTAGGTTGACTGATTCTATATTTTCAATTTTTCTGAAATTTATTGACATAAAAAGATAATTTTGAAGGCAACATAGAACTAGGCTTTCCCTTCCTGACCAATCCTTCTGATTGGTTGCCTCTCACGGTTAATAGTATCACATTCCTTACAGTTGCTTAGTATCAGAAATACAGTTGACTGTCTCCTCTCCCTTATCATCTCATATTCAGTTTTCATCAAATGCAGTTATGGTAGACACTATAATGCACTGACCATATATTTTTTTAGAAATGTAGGAATTACTCCTTTAGCATTTGGAAAGAAGGATGACCATCAGGTTAACCCTCCTTAGGCAATGCCTTGCTTGAAAAAGAAAAAGCCTCACCCAAGGTCAAGCTTCCTTCCACATGTAGCCCACTTTCAAAGACTGATCAACACAGCACTATATAATACAAACCCAGTCTTCTTGTCCCAACTTTGGGAAACTCTGAAGGGCCATCCCAGCTTTTGATGACTTGCCTGAAGCCTTCATTGCGCCTCCATCAAAGCTCAACTTCTGCCTCTGGCCAATAAACTTTCTTGCCAACACATTCCCTGAGGGAGGGATGTCCTGCATGCTAATCTCACATCTCAGAGTCTGATTCCCTGGAAATTCAATCTGTTTTAGCATTATTTTTCCTCCTTATTTCTCTTGAAACTGTCCCTTTGTTTCTTTTTATTTCTAATTTCTTTTTATTTTATAAATTTGAGGGGTATAAGTGCAGTTTTGTTATATACATATAGTGAGTAGTGGTGAATTCTGGGCTTTTAGTGTTACCATCACTTCAAGAGTATACATTGTACCTCATCCCTCAACCCTTTCCCCACTTCTGAGTCTCCAATGGCTATTTATTTCACATAGTATGTCTATGTGTACACATTATTCAGCTCCCACTTACAAGTGAGAACATGCAATGTTTGACTTTCTGATTCTGAGTTGTTTCACTTAAGAGAAGGGCCGCCAGTTCTTAACCCACAATCATGGGTCTCATTTGGTCTACCCTTAAGTCTTATTTAGGTGGTCAATCTTCACTTTTTGTTCCATGGCCAAGTAAGCATTTAAATATAAACCTCCACACAGGCACAGTTGGAACATGACTATAGCTCTCTGTAAGCTGCTTTGAAAAATCCAAATCCATCCATTTCTCAAAATTTCTCTCTAACAATGAATATGCCATGATATCAACATTAGTAGATGCTGTCAGTGCCCCACAAAAATCCTCTCTTCAGAGAGTTCCCATACACACAGAGGTTTTCTACTACTCTTTGCCTGTAGAGATTCACTGACATGGAGCCTTGCCCTAAGCACAAACTTTAATCAATAAAGGACAGGAGTTAGTGGATAAATAACTTCAATTCCCTTGCCCTTCAGTGTAACACTTCTCTTCAAAGTTGTCCAGTGAATTCCCCCAGTTTTAAACACTAATTTGATCAGTAGCTTTAGCTTACTTTTTTTTTTTTTTTTTTTGAGACAGAGTCTCGCTTTGCTGCCCAGGCTTTGCTGTCAGCCTAGCTCACAGCAACCTCAAACTCCTGGGCTCAAGCGATCCTTCTGCCTCAGCCTCCCGAGTAGCTGGGACTACAGGCATGCGCCACCATGCCCGGCTAATTTTTTCTCTATATATTAGTTGGCCAATGAATTTCTTTCTATTTATAGTAGAGATGGGGTCTCACTCTTGCTCATGCTGGTTTCGAACTCCTGACCTCGAGCAATCCGCCCGCCTCGGCCTCTCAGAGTGGTAGGATTACAGGCGTGAGCCACCACACCCTGCCAGTAGCTTACTTTTTATTGGCTTTCTCTCTTCAGTATCTTACTTCCTCATTCTGTTAGCATGCTACCTATGATCATCTCTTAGATAAACTACTGGCAATTAAACTCTTGTCCTAGGGTCTGCATTTGGGGGTGGGGGCACAAACTAACATTAAGAACAATTACCTAGGATATTGACAAAGACCCCTAAATGATCTTCCAGATCTAACTGCCCTATTTCACCTCTCTCATCTGTTTTACGTATTACCTCCAGATTTCATTTTCTCAAACTCAGTTGACTCATGCTTCTTGCCTCCTCAGAAATCTTAAATGGCTCCACTGCAACAAGTAAAACCAAACTCTTCCCTGCAAGGTCTGCCTGCATTTCTAATTATATATCATTCTGCATTCTGCATCAGACACACATTCTAAACACACCCATGTATTTTTTAATTCACAGAAACTGTCTTCTGTGTTTTCAATAAGGTGGTTTCCTCTGCTAGAATGTTCTTCCCACCTATATTGGGTGATAAATTCCAACTCATCCTTCAAGGCCCAAATCAAGCTCATTGTCCCCTAGGAAGCCCTCTCAGACCACCACTGTTAGGATTAATATCTTCTTCCACCATGTTCTCCAGTGCCATGATTAAACTTTTGGTATTATTAGAGTGTACCTTGATTGAGATGCTTTACCGATATCTATTTCTACCACCAGATATGAATTCCTGGGAGGTAAGAGTAAGTCACATAATATCCATCTTTAGATACAGTGCTAATATTCAAAATATTCAAAATATTAAAAATTAACGAACTTGCATTCTAGTACTAACCAATCAGAAAGGACACCTGATCAAGATCCCAAGGGAGACATCCTGATGCTTTATGTGTTAACCCTTTAGGTGCTGCTGGATTGTTGAGAGGTCCAGAGGGTCCTAGGGGAGGGGTTGTTGTGGCTAGATTAGAGTAGCAAGGGTTGCACTGTAATGGAGCCCAAACAATTGAATATTTGTGAACATATAAGAAAAAAGCAACTGTTATAATCTTTCAACAAGCAGAGCATAATTAGTTGAATGTCAGCTTTGTTCATAACTACTACGTTTATCAAGACTTTTCAAATTATAGGCCTTTAGTAAATAATTATTATATAATTAAGAACATAATTGAACATGAGCACAAAGTTTTTCTAAAATACCACTCACACACACACACATGCTGATACACTTCTTTAGCCTGAATAAATAGGAAATTTCTCATACGTGTGAAATTTTTAGTCTAGTTCTCTTTATATTATTAATACTTCAGATTAGTTAACAGCTGTTCAGAAGTCATTATATATAAATGGCTTAATATATTATTTAAGTCTTCCAATAATAATAGCAATGAAAATTGGAGTCCCTTCTTTATAGACTGTTTTTCAAAAGCATAATGGCATGGTTAATTCAACTCGAAGGGATTGTCCTGGGAAAAGCTACCATGATCATGTCTTTTAAATATTTTTCAAAAATAAGAAACTAAAAAAACCTTTTGTATAGCCAGCAACATTTACCTAATTTATCCTCCCTTAACAATATACCCTGAGCTGCATTTAATTTCCCCAAATTCTTTCTAAATTCTCTCAAATTAACATGTTAAAAGAGTCCATATATGATTTTAAAAATATGTATTGAAATTTTATGGCTTACAAAAGATGCTAAAATAAAAAACAACAACAAAAAATGACCATACAAAGGAAAGCCTGCCAAAAGTAATTATTTAATTCGTTTAGGTCTATTTCAATAACTTTAAGAGTCTGCTTCATGGACCAGGAACTTTCTTTAAAGTGATTATAAACACTCCTAATTCAATAATGTTTCACAGTTTGTGTTTTCTCTTCTGTTCCTTAAGTAGCTGAACTCACTGTCTTCTATATAATAGGAAAATGTAATTTTCTATGTCTTGTCAAAAATAATTATGCCAATTCTGAATGACTTGTTGCCTTTATAAAAAACTAGTTAAAACTTTAAAATAAAGGAAAACCACCAACTATTAGCATTGTCATTGACAAAACAAAAACTGAAATTTAAATTTCTTTAAATGAATAGATAACAAATAGGGTCACTATAGCTCAAGTCCATCTATCACATGGAAACTTTTTAATGGGCTTTGTAAAGCCAAACATCTCAAAAGTGATAGGAAGATTTCAGAAGATGCTAACAACTATTGCTGTGTTGACATTTGAGGTTAAGCACACTAGGAGCAGGAGTGGAGATGGGAAGGCAATTTTTCCTACACAGTACATTCTGTTACAGTGGTAATAATTGGATCATCTTATCTGGTATTTTAAAATTTCTCTCCTGCTTATAATAGCAGTTTATTCTCTGCACTAGACTGTTCCCTCAAACATTCTTTGTTGAGGCAAGCAGGGATGAGAGGCTAGTACTTCTAGGAGGCACAAGATCACTACTAGGTACATACATACTTTCCACATTGATAAAGTTGTATGTACTTACCAACCTTAGCAGGATCAAACTACCAATGGGCAATTTAATTCTCTCCCAAATAAGACAACTTATTCCTTTGATAAATCCTAGCCCCTCTGTCCTATTATTCTTCTATCACTTCTCATCCCACTCCCTTCAAAAACTAGTAGGAATTACTTCCCACCCCTATTTCCAAGCAAGTGATACTCATTAGGGACCATCAGGGAAATCTGCATACATCAATTCTTTATTAGAGACAAAAGAAGAAAACTTCATATATACCAAAACTTTAATCTATTGTTCATATATCAATTAAGTGCATGTAGATGCTTTTATCTATTTATCCAGTCCTGTAAACAGACATTATCATAGAATGCTGTTGGGTTTATAAATTGGCATAACTATTTGAAAGTATTTGTTAAATTTTAAATGTAAATACCCTTAACTAAATAGTTCTACTTCTAGAAATTTTTCCCTAAATATTTGAATAAATGGCCGAGATAGTATAGCAGTAGACATTAAAATGTATGCCTCAAACCTTTGTTTATTTAGAAAGCTAATGACTGAAATGCAAAACTAAATTTCCCCGGATCATTTACTAAAAAGAAGAAATACAAATTGCATTTTTATTTCTTCTCATCATAAATCCTACTGTGGTAGTTAATAATAGTTTATTAATGGATTTGATACCTTTGAATATACCACGTTTCCAAGGGCGTACATGTAGAATATATGGATTTGCTTTGTCAGGATCTATGATTATGTGTGCATTTCCCCACACTATTGGGAGGTCTGAAGATACCTAGAAAAGAGAATTCAAAAGCAAGGGTTATATAACGTCAACATAAAATGTTTTTCTATGCTTTAGTGTGTTATACCACATGAAATTAGTGTAACATGCTAAAGCATAGAAAAAAAACTAAAATTTAAATTAAATACTTGCATTACAACTGTTCGCTTTTAAATAAAAGCAGGCCAGAAAAAATCCTACATACAATAGAAGAAAAATCTCAGAAGAGACCTAAGAAAAAGAGGAACAAAGGAAATAATTCTTACAAAATGAACAGTGTTCATATTCTGTTGCTACTTTTATCAAGATCCTTGGTGTTTAGAAAATCTGAACATATCTTATAGGCCATGTGCAATTTTCTTTATGCAATTTGATACAAAAGAGATGAACCATTTCAATAATTTTCTATATCAGTATTAATAGAACACACAAAGAATATTTAAGCAGCATTTGACCACAACCCTGGTTAAATTCAACTTTCAGTTTACTTGATGCAAACACTAATCTACTTTGTGTCTCTGTATATTTTACTATTATGGACAATTCTTAAAGCTGGAATTATATAGTATGCAATCTTATTGGCTTTTTTCATTTACCATATTTTTTTTATTTTTGCCTATTTTAATTTACAAAAATTGTATATATTTAGGATGTAAAACATGATATATGTATACATTGTGAAGTGGCTACATTGAGTTAATTAACATATGCATTACCTCACATAGTTATAATTTTTGTGGTGAACACTTAAAATTTACTCTTTTAGCACTTTTCAATAATACATTATATTGTTGTTAATTATAGCAACCATGTTGTACAACAGATCCAATAAATCTCTTGAACTTATTCCTTCTATCATATTGCAATTTTCTATCTGTTGACCAACATCTCTCCAACTCTCCCTTCCTCCCTGCAAAAGGCCCTGGTAACCACTATTCTAATCTCTACTTCTATGAATTGAACTTGTGTAGATTCCACATGTAAGTGAGATCATGCAGTAATCACCTTTCTGTGACTGGCTTATTTCACCTAGCATAATGTTCTCCGGTTTCATCCATGTTATCACAAATAAGAGGATTTCCTTCTCTTTTAAGACTGAATAGTATTATATATATACCACATTATATTTATCCATCCATCTGTTGATGGAGAAGGATAGTCTTTTGAATAAAGGATGCTGGGAAAATTGAATATCCACATGCAAAAGAATGAAATCGACCCTTCTCTTACATTGTACATAAAAATGAACTTGAAATGTGTTAAAAATTCAAATGTAAGACCTAAAATGATAAAACTAGAATAAACATAGGGAAAAACTCCTTGGCATTGTTCTGGGCAACAATTTCTTGGATATGACATCAAAAGCAGAGGCAACAAAAGAAAATATAAACAAGTGGGACTACATCAAATTAAAAAGCTTCTGTACAGCAAAGGAAATAATCAATAAACTAAAAGGAAACCTATAGGAATGGGAGAAAATATTTGCAAATAATATATCTGATAAGAGGATTACATTCAAAATATATAAGGAACATATACAACTCAAAAATAATAAAAAACCCTCAATTAAATAAAAGGGCAAATGACCTGAACAGATATTTTCCCAAAGAAGACATACAAATGTCCAACGGGAATAAGAAAAACCACTGAACATCACTAATCATCAGGGAAATACAAACCAAAACCACAATGAGATATCGCCTCACACCTGTTAGAATGACTAATATCAAAATGACAGAAAATACCAGATGTTAGTGAGGGCATGGAGAATAGGGAACCTATGGGAATGTAAATTGGTAAAGCCATTAGAGAAAACAGTATGGAAGTTTTATAAATAGTTAAAAACAGAACTAGCATATGATCCAACAATCCCATTTCTGGGTATATATTCAATGGATTCCTCAATGTTATTTATATACTGAAACCACAGAAATACAGTCTTCAATTATGATTGCCTGTGAGAATAGTTCTGATATTAAAAATTCCACTTCTACATTTAATTGAATAAATATAGTCAGCATTATATAATTATAAAATAATGGGTATCATTTCTGTCATTGGCAACAAAATGAAATAACCAATATTACAGATTTTTATATAACCTGTTTTCATTCAGTTCTTGGCAAGTATTTTTGCTCACTAGGAAATTCTGGAAGGGGAAAAGAGGTGGTGAAAAAAATATATTCTCCTTATTTATTTATAGCAAATCCAGGTAGTCATGTTATCTCCCTCCCTTCCTCCCTTCCTTCCTCCCTCCCTCCCTCCCTCCTTCCCTCTCTCCCTCCCTCCCTTCCTTCCTTTCCTTTAAATGCCATACATTATGTTTTTATCTGTTCATTAAATAAATCTTTCCTTAAAAACTATTATGTGTTCGATATTATGATTTATGCTAGTTATAAAAATATGAATAAGAGAGACTTGCCCCTGTTCCCATAGTTGATGATCTGGTGGGGAATAATAAACAGATAATAACAACATTATGCAGTAGGTATTATAGGGGGCAGGTAAAAATATTCTATGGAAGCAGGTGACAGGTATCTAATCCAGATTTAAGTCAATAGTGAAGGATTCTTAGTAAAACTGGTCCTAAAGAATGAAAAGGAGTTACACTGACACATAAATATAAGATAGGGACTTGAGGGGAGAGTTTCAAGGAGCAGAAATAGGAAATAATGTTTGCAAACAAAGGCTTAAATGCTGCTGGAGTCAGGGATGGCAAGAGAAGAAGCTGAATAGATAAGAAAGAAAAAGCTATTGAATGACAGTGAAATCCACTTCAAGGAGTATGGACTTTGATTCTGAAGGAAAGACATGACACTGGCAGGTTTTATTAATAGCTGAGAATGACAAGATGAGATTTTGATTTAGAATATTTACTCCATTTGCAATCTAGTAAAGAAAGCGGAAGAAAACCAAGGCACATATTTTTAAAGATTATTAAAAAAGCAAAGGGAAAACCCAGAGAGTTTCCACCCTTCTGCAATTCCCTCTAAAACTGAATTCGGGTACTTATAACCGGTAAGTATTTGAAGTGTCTTTTGAGGATCCTATCAGGCACACAACAATTTGTAGATAAAGATGAGAGTGAGGGGTGAAAAATTGTATTTAAAGATTGGTTGAAACAAATCCATTGATGAGGACAGAGTAGGAAACTTCATAAAAAATAAAGATGTAAACAGTTATGCATTTCTTAATATTTCCACTATTATTCACACAAATAAATGATAGAATACAATTCTGAAATTTTGCTGTGCCTACAAATTTGACATTAAAATTTCAAAAATTATTTCTAAATTTTTTGATAACACCTTTTATCATGTATAATTTCTTTAAGCAAAAATACGCATGACTCAAATAAGTAGATTTTGATGTATTTTATGATTATGTACTAATACTTAAATATAAAACATGTTTCATGCTAATTTAAATTCACAATTGAAATGAAATTTAATAGCTGTTGTAGTAAAAAAGGTAGAATTGTAAACATCTCTTTGTGTAACATTGCTTCACCTGATCAAGTAAAATTAAATGTTTAAAAAATTTCATGCAATTATTATATTTCATATAATATAATTAAATATATATTCAGAAGAAAACACTTTCAAACTAAAAAGAGAATTCTTACCTCAAATTTTAGGGTACTATTTGTATAATTAGGCACCATTATGTGTTTAATTTTTGTTTCTCCCACTTCACATTCCACAGTGATGTGTTCCACGGCTAGGGGTTTTTTTCCAATCCCTTTTATGTGAAACATGTGCTCCACACCATCTACTTCATTTTGTAGAACAAGTTTACCCTATGACAAATCAGCCAAATTTCAGGTCTATAAAAGTCATAGTTCAATGCCAAACAACCTCTGCTATCCTATCAATCTTGGGTCTGGTTAATGAAATGAGCTGGTAGAGAGGTGTTTGTTAGCCATTGACTTTTCTAGTTAGCATACAAATGCTTCTGCTGAACAAACAAAGATAAACTTCTGGTGAAAAGCTCTTTATTTCTCTTTACTCTCTCTTAATTACAGTGTGTATGTAGGCCTTCTCACACACAGCAATTATATGTGTGTTTACCTCCTTGTCAAAGAAACATTATCTTAGCGAAGTATTTTCTGATGTACCAATTTCCTTACTGAATGAGAACAAAGGGAACAGTGATTTTTACTCTGTTCAGCATGTTCTGTAAAAATAATCTGGATATAAGTATTCAAATTGCATTGTAACTTTCAGAATGTTTACCCTACAAGTTAAAATATTTATTAAAGTTTCAAACAAAAAACTGATCAAATTCACAGAAAATATAAATTTCTGCAAAAAAATGTTTTAGCATCAATTAAATAGATTAAAATACATTAGTATTTTACATTGACATATTAATAGTGGGGGGGGATCAATGATTTCATACCATAACCTCACATTCAAAAATAGGTTTGAATGTGAGAGGATATTCCACAGTTTTGCCTGGTCTGACATATAAAACCGAAGGTCCGTAAAACCATTCTCCTTCTATAGTAACTTGATATCTCCGTTCCTTCTTTGTTTTATTTTCCTAAAGAATGAAAAAAGGTACAAAAACATCAATGCTGATGTGGATGAATTTAAATTAAATATTAATTCTTGATAATTTTAAGACAATTATATATTATATTTTAATTGTATTTCTTGAATCACCATTTGAAAGTCATATTTTTTAAGAACAACTATCAAAAATGCGAACATAAGGCACAAGGATGACTACATATTATTTTTATGCCAAATAGTAGCATTGCTTAAAACATCTATCCAAGGATTGTTTAATATGTAGAGAAATGTCCCTTTGTTTGACTTATAAATTGCTGTTAAAATGAAAAAATGGCCTTGGAAGACACCCTTTTTCTCCTAATTAAGGAAAATAATAGATGTTCTACCTGGTAAATTGCTCAGACAGCAAAGATTATATATCTTATGAACAGATTTTTGTGCTACAGGCTGACTTTTTTTGTTGTTTGTTTTTTGAGACAGAGTCTCACTCTGTTGCCCGGGCTAGAGTGCCTTGGCATCAGCCTAGCTCACAGCAACCTCAAACTCCTGGGCTCAAGCAATCATACTGCTTCAGCCTCCTGAGTAGCTGGGACTACAGGCATGTGCCACCATGCCGGGCTAATTTTTTCTATATATATATTAGTTGGCCAATTAATTTCTTTTTATTTATAGTAGAGACGGAGTCTCGCTCTTGCTCAGGCTGGTCTCGAACTCCTGAACTCAAACTATTGGCCCACATCCCCAGAGTGCTGCGATTGTAGGCGTGAGCCACTGTGCCTGGCCCAGGCTGACTTTTGTTTGTCATGTCTTGGATACTTAAATAAATAAACAAATAAACCAACAAAAACAATTTATCATTCTAAAAATCCAAAGTTCCTTATATTGCATTACCTTCTTCTATGCTACATTTTCTCTTTGACTAACAGATAGTCAAGCTACAGCCCATCATTGTTCTCAGTAAACCCATCATAATCAAGTGTTAGATCACAACAGAATTTAGAGTACAGTGATTTGAGAGTACATAACTCAACTGGTTGAAAGCAGAGGCATAGCTTTACAGTAAGTAATTGAATGATCAGTTAAGGACATTGGAGTTAATTTTTTTAAGCAAAGAGATCCAGCAGAAGTGATTAATCAGGTGAGTAACATGATAACATTTATATTCAGGAAGAAACTCTGGCATCAATGAGGAGAAATAATTGATGGCAGATAATACAATTAGAAATCTGTAGTAGCTCAAGATTAGAGGTTTGGAGGACTTTAATTGAGACAGTGGCAATGGGAATGAAGAAAAGTACCCCCAAAATGTTTATACATACTATTGGAATATTCTGAGTAAGTGGTTCACATGCTGGTGTTTCAAATTCAAATTTGGCCTCTGGCTGTTCTTCATTCACCACTCCTTCAACATAATAGGCACGCACATCATACCTTGATGTCAACAAAATTTTACAAGGGTAGCATCCAGGACTGATAGGAACAAATCGTAAAGGAACTGCAACAGATGCTTCTGTAGCTATCAAAATAATTTTAAAATAGTTTAATCATTTAAAATGGTGTAAATCCTAAAATTCATCTTGGTCAGCAATATTTAATACTGTATGAAATTATATTGTATAACCTAGAATAGATTAGGATTCCTTGAGGTAACACAACACTTCTAAATCTCCAGGGCTTACCATGCAAGTTTATTTACAAATAAGAGTATGTATCTCCCATAGGTCAGAGGAAGGTCTCCTCAAATTACCTTAAGTTAATATATTATTTCTTAGGGTGTGCAAGCTATCTATACTGGTCCTTTCCTTGCAAGCAACACCAACCAGTTTTTCTCTGAAGGTCACCATTTTCTTATTCTCCATAAAATGAGAAAATAATTTAAAAAAAAAAAAAAAAAACCTCAAAACCCAAAAATAGGATATAAGAACACAATACAAATTTCACTGTCAATTCCAAACTATTTAAGAAATCAATAAGAAACAAATGATAAAAAAAAAAGTTTAGAAGCTAATTCTGTGCAAGGAAGTTCCTTGAAACCAAGAAAACAAATCAAGCATATCAACCAATGGACTAGACAAATGTTATGGCATTGATTGGCTATAACTTGAATTTACTCACATTTAACATGTCAAATGTTAAAGATGGCAACTTCTTTTCAAATGCACTGAGGTCTATATTCAAGAAAACCAGTCACTGTGACAAGCACATTAACTATTCTAAATCCTTTTTTTAAGAAAAATTGAGGGTTTGTATGTATGTGTTGTAAATTATATGGTATGTGATATTTTAGATTATAAAACTATATCTTACATCAATTAAATATTAAGTAGCATATTATATGTCTATGCTGCTATTTGTCATGTTATATATCATTTATACTATTATGTTTATATGTTATATATTAAAACACACTGACAGTGGATCATATTTGAAATCTATATCATGTCTAACAAGTCCAAGACTCTCAGCTGGTCCGATGAGAAAACAGTTACTCTCAAAAGCAGTCAGAATGTTATTTTTATTCTATCCTATTCAAGTACAAATCTAATTTCAGAATTAGATTTTTTTTTTGGCAAAAAAGACTCTAGGCATATTTTATCATCTGTTGCTCCTTTCATTAAGAGAGGGGTATTTGGGTTGTGGCAATCTCAATAGAACAAATTAAGAGAGAATTAATTGATCAAACTTTCTTGCTTTAATAGCAGAAATAAAGAAATCTTATTTTTCTCTTGTATGAGCAGACTGAAATAAAAATATATAGAGTAGATACCTTAAATTAAAGTTAATTAATTTAAAGTTATTTAATTTAAATAAATTTGAATTAAACTATTTAGAAGAAAATTTAAACAACTCAACAATATTTATTTTCATCAAGAATAAAAAATCACTAACTAGTGCTAAATAATAATTGCAATGCACAAGTTCAATTATAAAACTTCTGTCACAAGCTTTATATTATACAACATTTCCTTTTTGCCTTAAAATGTTCATTTCCTAATGATCACTAAGTCTGAAAGTTAAAGCCAAAGACATCCTTAAGTGCACATTTTCCAACTCATGAAATGTTCAAGAGCAAGGAACCTAAGAAATAAAAAGTGTTTGCCCATCCTCTTTATAAGTCCAAGATGAAATCCATCAAAACAGCAGAATATGTGGAAATGATGGCTTTTATTATTGAAGATGTATTGATAAAATGACATGTTTCTGTTTCCTAAACACCCAACATAATCTTATTGATTCACATAAAAAACATAAATAGAAGTATTATCACCTACTCTCATTCACTTCCACAGCCTCCCTATAGACAAACCAAGGCAGTTGAGAATTCAAGGGCTTTATAGAATATAATTTGACTGACTAATCCATTAGGTTTTTCTGCCTTAATATGCCGTAATTATATGAAAACACATCAATCATGTAGAAGAGATTAAGTCATATAGTAAACCGATCACTATCTTCTATAGTTAATTTTTAGGTATATTATTTGCAAACAATAGTCAGAAGCTCTTAATTCTGAAAATGAGTTATCAAGAGTGAATAATTATATTTATCATCTATCTAAATAATTTTAATACTCATTTATTATAAAAATATATGAATAATTATATTTTTAGAGAACTTTTTGGCCTATTTGTTAATTACACTTCCATCTATTACTGGAAAGGTTTTTTTTGAGACAGAGTCTCACTTTGTTGCCCAGGCTAGAGTGAGTGCCATTGGTGTCAGCTTAGTTCACAGCAATCTCAAACTTCTGGGTCTACGTGATCCTACTGCCTCAACCTCCTGAGTAGCTGGGACTACAGGCATGCGCCACCACACTAGGCTAATTTTTTTTCCTATATATTTTTACTTGGCCAATTAATTTCTTTCTATTTTAGTAGAGACAGGGTCTTGCTCTTGCTCAGGCTGGTCTCGAACTCCTGAGCTCAAATGATCCACCCGCCTCGGCCTCCCAGAGTGCTAGGATTACAGGCGTGAGCCACCACTACCGGCCTTATTACTGGAAAGTTTTAATGTAGGTTTTTTTCTATTGTACAAGTCAAAAGACCAAATCATAAGTTAATTGAAATTTTCTCCATTTTAGTTACTTTATTATGTTCTTACAGGCATATGAGCATCTGCCTCACAAATACTCTAGTAAAATATGTGATAAAGTGATAGATTCATTCATGCTAACAACTTGCTCATTACAGAGACTCCTCACTTAATACCATAAACATGAAATATGACCATATGCATTATATAGCAAAAAAGAGTTCAGCAATTACAAATTCTGGAGTGTGTTTGATTTACTTTTTACAAATTTTTCATTAGTAATATGGTGTGTGTGTGTGTGTGTGTGTGTGTGTGTGTGTGTGTTTTGAGACAGAATCTCGCTTTGTTGCCCAGGCTAGAGCGAGTGCCGTGGCGTCAGCCTAGCTCACAGCAACCTCAAACTCCTGGGCTCAAGCAATCCTACCGCCTCAGCCTCCTGAGTAGCTGGGACTACAGGCATGCGCCACCATGCCTGGCTAATTTTTTCTATATATATTAGTTGGCCAATTGATTTCTTTCTATTTATAGTAGTAGAGACGGGGCTCTCGTTCTTGCTCAGGCTGGTTTCAAACTTCTGACCTTGAGCAATCTGCCGGCCTCGGCCTCCCAGAGTGCTAGGATTACAGGCTTGAGCCACCTTGCCGGCCAGTAATATGGTTTAATATGATCCACTCAGGAAAAGCCATTTTCTAAAATTTTTTAGTTGCTTAAATTGTCAAATTTATTATAAACATTAAACAAAATAATAATAATTTAAAATGATAAAGATCTACACTAATTGTTGACAAATTTAATTTTTGAAATATAGTTGATATGGGTTTTATTGCTTAAAAAGAGGCTCAATTACTTTTGCTTTTCTATCACCAGGATGATCTAAAATAGTATAATATTTAAGAGTGAAAAGAAAGAAGAAGAGAGAGAGAAGAGGAAAAAAGAAAAAAAAAAAGAGAGAAGAAGGAAGGAGGATAAAAATAAAGAAGAGAGGGAAGTCCCAGGAATCAAGGAACGAAAAAAAAAGTATTTGGGAGACTAAGAGAATGGCATGTGACGCTTTTTACCTGACCAACCTCAAATGTCTGAGAGCACTGGACTTTTGTCCTTGTGAAGTTTGTAAGTATCTTCAAGCAGGGAAGACTAGTAGGCAGTTCCCTTTCTGATTCATTATGATAGTAACTACATAACCTCTTGTGTACCCTAAGGCACAGGGGAAAAAAGGCTATAGGCAGATGCCAAAGTACTGTAGCAGGTAAATGGCAAGGATTGCCAAGTATTACAAGCACAGCCAAGCTAGGCTCAATAGCTATAGAAAAGCCTATTCTTATTAATTTTGTTGTTCGGGACTAATTCTCTGTCTGCCTTATCTGTCAATTACTGAGGGAGGTATAATAAAGTCAGTCACTGTAATTGAGAATTTGTTCATTTCTCCGTTTATATTCATTAATGTGCAATTATTCCAAGATAAATAAATGAAATAATAAAAAATAAAAAAAACAAATTAATTCATTTTTGCTTTATACGTTTTGAGAATACATGGTTAGGTGGACATAAATTCAGAATTTTTCTCTAAGTTGTATTTTCCCTTTTTATTAAGTAGTATATTTATTTGCCTTAAAGTCTACTTATTCTAATATAATATATCTATGCCAGCTATTTTTTGACTAGTAAATATAGGATTTTGGATATTTTACCAGGTAATTTTGTAAGCAGCATAAAGATACAGTTTACTTTCCATTGTAAAAATATCACTTTTTTAGAGTTAATCTGTTTATATTTATTGTGATTAATGATATGTTTGTGTTTAACATCTCATTTTGTGCCTGACTTTACCACATCTTTTCTTCAGTTCTTCTTTGTTCTTGTATTCTATTGGATTCACTCAATTTTTAAAATTTTCTTTTACACCTCTACTGGTTTAAAAATTATACATTCTGACAACCCAAAATAAGTCACTGAGGCAAAGATCTCAATCAACGTAGGTTTATTAAGCCAGAGTTTGAGGACATGCCTGGAACAAACACAACCCACAGAAGTATCTGTGACTGTTTATCCAAAGCTGGATTTGGGAACTTAGGTTTTAAAGGGGACAGTCCATACAGAAAAAAAGGAGGAGGGAATAGTCAGTGAGACAAAGGGTTACATTCTTGTGAAGCCCAGGAAATCTACATTTTACATAAGGTAAGGCAAATGTTAGAAGAGAAAAAGGGAGTGAAGAAAGCATCAGTTATGTAGATATCCCCAGGTAGGTGGAAGAATGTTTGATCTTGTATTTTGGCTGTTTTGCACTTGAGAAGATAAACTTGTAATCAATCTTATCAGTGTGTAATCAAATGGAATTTAATTAGAAATCTCTGGACCCCCAAATTAATTACACCAAAGGGAGAGCTAAGCCTGGGAGCTGAGTCAGGCAGCAGTGCCATCCTTTTCCCAAATGGATAGATGTGACTTCACAACCTTCAGTCATAATGTTATGCATAAGACAAATTG